GACTAAACCATGTGGCGGCATCCAAATTTGGTGTCCATAAAAAATTCAAGCCAATTGCAGGAACAATGCCTAATCAACTTTCACAGCTTCTTGTGAAGAACAGCAGGAAGAATAAAATAAATCTAAATTTCTGTATTGACAAAATGTCTGCTACATTCTCTGCAAAATGTGGGTAAAACATTGCATCGGGATGATTCAGTCTTGTATCCTGTTTCATATCAATGATGCATTTTTTCATGTTATCTTTTCTCCCTCATTCGGTTCGGCTGCTTGGTCACTGGGCGAACCACAGGTGAGAATGCCAGCCTCACTTACTGGCTATCGGGCTCAGATGCCAGCAATTTCGCGATCCACCAACACACCGGCCAGCTGCTCCTCGATCAGAATCTGGACAGAGAGTCGTGCGATCTTCTTCACTTGACGGTGCATGCCAGAGACAATGGTACACCATCCCTAAATTCATCCATCAATCTGACCATCTCGATAAGTGACGCCAATGACAATCCGCCTGAGTTGCCTGCCCACTTGGAGTTCTCCATCTACGAAAACCACACTTCAAGTGAGTAAATGGGGGCCATTTAGGAGCACCCATATCGACAGTTGTAAACAAAGATATGTCTAACATTTATCACTCACCTCTTTACACTTATTATTAACCTTTTCATGTGACTATTGTCCTAAGTAGTTCCAGAATAAAAATTTATCCATCCTGGATCGCTTAGACAAATTTAAGGAGAGTTGAAATTGAAAAGAGTAAGTCTTGAAGAGGTGACTGCCGTTTTTATACCTCATCTCATCAGCACCCATGACGGGATTTTAAACCGAGATTAATCAACTCAAGTCATTCAGGCCGACTCTAGCTCTTGTGAGAGAGGATATGTTGCATTAAAATTTAACAATAAAACGATAAAAAGCCCGTTAATACCCTCTTTATAGTCATTTCTTCCAAAGAATTACGTTGGAAATTTCGCACACTTGTGTCACCGAGGAAGAGATTGAAGAACTCCAAGTTGACCCGACTTTTTATTTCGAAAGACAAGTTGACTGGAAGGTATCACTAAATTGCCCTCACCATAAGCCGAGGGGGACTGCTGGGCTGTGCTTAGGTGCCCTCTGACCTCCAGTCTGCGATACCAATACATCCAAGTTGAACTTTTGCCTGTATCATCAATAAAAACACCCCTCCTAGCCGGAACCAATCCTTTATGGGAAATGATCCAATAAACTAAACCAGTGAATGTGGCCGACTAGTCATCATACTCAAACGTGTCAAGCTCCTATGCTGCACTGTCACGGTTCGGCTCCCGCTTGGGGTGTTGATGAGACCGATTCGAGGTCGAAGCTGCGTCCACTTCGGATGAGAACAACTTTAGGGAAACCAAGGCTATGTGAAATTGAATGGAAGCCTCAGCTCTACCCATATCATTGTGGGAAAATTCTACTAACAGACCGTCATCACCTAAAATGAAATAAGGTGAACCCATCTTATATAACTGATTTACTGGTAGTCTCGAAACTCTATTTATACGATAAATAACTAAACTATTTTTGACCTTGTTTTCGTAACTTGGTCATATTGGTAGGAAGACTTAGAGGAAAGCACCTAGTCCGGAGTCCATTGCATGCACATTCCAAGCACAAGGGTGAAGGGAGTGAGAACGACAACGTGGAGTGTGAAGTATTTTCATGAATTCCGCTTAAAGGAGCACACCACGCTACATCGAAATAAGCACGGTACAAATTGTAACATTGAAGGTGTGATAGGAGGATATAGGAAATGTGAATAGCCTAGGGCAAAAGTGGAGATACCACAACTGTTTAGCACACGTTTGGTCAAAGGATCGGCTTCACTTGTCTCTTTGCCGAGTTGTTGTGTGGTGCGAAGAATGGCGAGACTCACTGACTCACTGGGAATGTACCACGTCCACAACCCGACTTTGAAATGATCATGCATTCAATGGACTCCGGACTAGGTGCGTTCCTCTAAGTCGTCCTACCAATTTGACCATGTTGCGAAAACAAGATCAAACAACCTATAGACAACGAAAGAATACTGCGACCCCACAAAAGGTCACGCCATCTTGGTCTTCATACCTTCGGTTAAACAATTATGTTTGCAAAAATATGTAAAATTCAGTGAAAATAAAAGTCATATGTGTCTCATATACATAAACTAGTGATTGATCCTGCGGTATTAACCAGTGTTTATGTGTGTGTGTGGTTTATTTTATGTATATTTTATTTAAATGTATCGCGTACATGCAATGCTCTATTGCCATGTGAAATGTACAAGCCTTAAACAAATACGAAGCTGCTCAAGTCTTCTTCTTTTGTACAGCCATTCATCTTGCTTCCTCCCCATTTCCTTCGCCTTAAATCCATCAAACAGCCAAAAATATTGAATAATAATTCCAGGATTCACTTATCTTAACCGAATATAATCCAAAAATAGTTCCCACTCAAGCTCATTTTTTCTTTATACAGACGTTATCGAGAACGGCGCTTTCTTTTTGACAATTCTATTAAGAGCTCACCATAGTAGCCATGTGTTCTGTCAATTCAGAGTTTCGAGCCCATCCCCTCTGGATGGCTCGGCAGTTCTCCTGCCCATGGACATTAGCTCACGAAAGATACGACCTTATAACGCATTGATGTAGAAATACGAATTCTTTTGGCCAGCTTCAAATGTGTTTTGCTCCAGTATCTATTAGTTTAGAAAAGGATAACAATTGGAGACGATGTGTTGAGATTTTCTCTTTTCCTTGGTATGCCTTTTGTCGCAAAGCCATGCATAATTGTACAAAACTGTTGATCAACATTGTGCAGACAGACCATGGAGGCTTACATTTCCAATGCATTGCAAAAATATATACTTTGTTAGCCTCGTTGCTGCGTCTTACCGTGCTACATCCACATACAGATATTTTTTTGTTAAGGGATACATCTCGCCATGACTCATTGTCAAACCAGTTTAAAAGTGGACTCACGAGGTGAACATGAGAATGGCCTGCGGAACTGGACAAAGATAAAGCTAGTGCAATGATATGAAGACCAAGATGCTGTGACCCCTGTTTTTGACACCGTCTTTTTTCACTTTATAAAAGTGGTCTGCCCTCATGTTTGCAAAGTGGTCGTGCTGTCAGGGCGACTTAATTTGGCGCATCTTGTCCGAAGTCCCCTGCTATAGTAGTTATCATAATTCACTGCGGTTGATATTGGAGGCCGGCGAAACGTCTGGGAATGTACCATGTCTATAGTTCAGCATTGGGACCGTGGAATACTTTACTATAGCAGAGGAGCTCGGACAAGGTGCGCCAAATTAGGTGGCTTGACAACACGGGAAAGGTGCAAAAACGAGGTCAGACAATTTATATTACAATAAAATTATCTCAAATCTATATTTGGTAATTGAATGTTTTGGAATTGTCAGTCAGTCTTGAATAAGAACTTAGTTATAGTAGCTCGCTTAAAGTGCTTGAAAGACCGATAGTGAAGCTTTTCATACAATGATATGAGTAGGTCTCATGATTTTAATCAAGTTCACTTAACTAGATAGACTAGGCCGCAATTTTTACCTCTCCTGGGTATCATCACTATCTCCAACGGGACTCGGAGCCGGGTCGTGCGCAGCCTGGCGACACATTATCACTGCTACCAAGTCAAGAGAGACAGTAGGTTGGATATTATTTCAAGACAAGTCAGGCATTACTTTTAATGCACAGTTACCGCAGAGCAGCATAACGAGTAACCTAGAATATATGCAAATACTAAGTTTATCATGGAGTTAGAAAAGGAAAATAAATTGCCTTTTTTGGCTGTATTGGTCAGCAAAGAAGGTAATAAATTAGGCAGAGACGTATATAGGAAACCCACTCAGGCGGGTTTCCGCATTAATTTTTGCTCGAAGCATACATATAAAGTAAAAATAGGAGTTCTGAAGTCAATGATAATAGGGAGTCCGTGTCTAACAGATGCAAGCAATATGAACAAAGAGATTGATAAATTGACGGATATACTGTTTCAAAAGAATTGCCCATTAGGATTAGCGGACAATTGCATATCAAATGTAATTGACAAGATTATTGGAGTTTGCTTTCAAGCGCGGGAGGGAAGACTTGACAATTCTACTTGGTTCTTGATTTTGCCTTCCTGTCAGCTTGTGAAAAAGTTGGGTCAACTACTGAGGAAATGGAACACAAAAACAATGTATAAAGAGAAATTAACACTTTCTTCAGTAGTCCCTTCGTTTAGACAATATTCAGACCCTCTTCCCAGATCAGGCTGTTACAAGGTTTTGTGCTCAGATGGTAAGGTCTATGTGAGGGAGACCTGCCGAGACATTCACAAGAGACTATGCGAACACAAGGCAGCTTGTGAAGGTCTGTGGACTTCACATCTAAGCGTAAGATTGGGGAGTCTATAAAAATTAACATGCCTGTTACCATGACAGCACAGGCGTAAGCTTAGCACCGTTTCATCGGGGTCGTAAGGTGCTGAGCCGTGGGTCTCTTCGCACAATTCGACAGTCTTCCCTACGCGACAATCCTCCTTCGGTTTTCGGTGAGACCACATCACGAATTCTCTCCAACCAACTTTCCCTTCGAAACGGACGGTCATGCAATAATATGAAATCCATCTGAGGTTTTATAGCCTCCTACCGTCTCAATCCTACCATACAATACTTAAAGCAGCCCTTTTTTTAGGAGTCACAAGGCACTTTCCGGGTACCGGGACGAAAGCAAGTGACTGACGGTAAGATGTTGCGGCAGTGGTTTCTCCGTAATTAGATGCTAAAAATAACAGCTTCCATATTTCCCAACAATTTGAAAATCAAAAACTTCTATTTAACCGTCAACGCAGGACATGAGGATACTTTTTGGAGCCTAGTTTAGCTTAATAGTTCTCTGCAGAAGCACGGAGCGAAGAAGCTAGGCTTTGTAGGATTTTCCACAATCAGGTATGGTTCAGAGGAAAGATAATAAAATGCTATCCATTTATGAGTAGGGTTTCGAGAAAACCACTAAATCGGTTATATGAGATGTATTCATCCTATTTCGCTTAAGATGATGAAGAACTAGTAGTAGAATTTTCCCACAAGGATATGAATAGATTTGATTCTTCCTTGGACGAGGCCACCTTTTTTGAAAGCAAGACTATGTTAAATTCAATGGAAGCGTCAGCTCGACTCATATCATTGTGGTAAACTTCGCCAACCAGTCCTTAATTGCATTAAACGAATTAGAGTGAATACATCTCATATAAAACGCTTTCCTTATACAAATCTTTATTAAGCATGCCTGTGTATTATATTAATCAGCTATACTTTTTAGTATAGTTATGATGATTAAGCCAAGAAGCTTAAAATCATATATCTGGATGTAAAACAATCCCAATGCCAAATCAAAGCTCAATTACTACCTTCAATATCGGCTCCTGCTTTAGCACTTGATAGGTACTTATGTGTCTTAGTCTACCTTCCGCTTTCATACTTCTGTTACGACTGTTGCACACCCTCTTATCTGCCTGAAGTAATATTTGTACATTCCACTGTAAGAGTCCGCGTATCC